GTAATTTTTAAAAATCTTTTTGTCTATCTTTTTAACTCTTGCCTTCTAAACAACCTCAAACAGACCAGTTACATAACGTTGGCTGTCATGGACATTGTACTTTTATTCTATTGTTTCCTCTAAATTCAGGTTCCCAGATGATTTAAAATCTTGTGGAAATGTTAAGATTTTTAACCAGACCCTGTCACAAAAGCTGTATATTGACATGTTATGGTCAAAAGGTAGAAGAAACGAATTCTTCCATATTGTAAATTTCCAGTGCAGGCTTAATTTTTTTTTAATTAGCAGCACTTAAAAACTATTACTGCATGGGTATGTTATAGTTCAGTTTTTTAAGTTTTAAAGGCTTTTTTGAGGCATACCTCACTGTTATGCACACTGTAACTTAACCATACCCCTAAGTATTCTTTTTATCCTGCATTTGATGCAGCACAACGAAGCTTTTGCTTTGAAATGAATTTGACTACCCTGTCCATGGGTATAGTAGATTGTGATTTAAGGCTCTTGCTGTCTCAGGTCTCAAAGGAAAAACTTATACTTTTATTTAATTTTGTTATAAATTATTGACTGAGTTAGAAGATAATGATTTGTATAGAGCCTAAGTCACTTACAGTCACTTTGTGCTGCATATCCTGAACCTTCTGAGTCCATCCCCCTTCTCTGTGTGCCAGTGCTTCCTGTCACTTTGATTCCTTGTTGGCAAGAGTTTATTACAGAATGTTTTCATTTCACTGAATCTCAAGGAGCAAATAATGTAAGACTGAATTTTAAACTGATTATGGTACTAGAGGGTCAATTTTATCCTTCATTAATTACTGCTTTTTGAATTTTCAGATTTTTTCCCACATAACTTAGCATTGAAGCTTCCTGCTGTAGCATATAGATGTTAAACAGTTTTGGGAGAATGCCACTGATTTAGAAGGGGGAGAAATAGAGGTCTCTCAGGATGGTAAAAATCAGCACTTTACAGACTTTTAAATAGACCTAAACTTTTTAACAAAAGTACTCATGCCTCTAAAGAAAACAGATCTGTGGTGACCACTGACTGCCTTCTTTCTGAAGTGTCTCGTGTGTGTGATTTCACATCACCCAGTAGCAATGGTGTCCAGTCCCCATATTACAGATAAGGGCACAGGTTCAGCACTTTGCCCATGGAACTAAATACGTGACAAAGATAGGCCATAAACTTATATTTGCCTGAAGTTTAAGCCTTCTCTCCTGTTACTATTCCACTCTCATATACTTGAAGTCCTCAAAATAAACTTTAGATCAGATTTTAGTGATCAGATTCCTACTACTTGGAAAGTTGGAATCACTTTATTATAAATATATATCACACACATTCTAATGAATGAAACAACAATAACAATGTTCTACATAATAGTGTTCTGCTAAAATTTTTTTAGGTGCTGACATCATTAATAATTTATATTGTCAACTGACCTAGAAGAGATTATCATGGTATTTTTCTTATGACACCGAGGGTCTTAACCTCTTCCAAATCAGAATAGTTTTTGAGAACATGTCAAATCAGAGACTAACCTGATACTTTTGCAGTTCCACTTGAAGGCCCCAAAGTGGGTAGCTTGTTAATCCCTCACCCAAACCTTATCACAACGCATGTGTTATTTCATCTACCATCACCTCATCTAGAAAAAAGGTTTCAGACTGGGAGGTAAAATCCAGTACTATTGCTTAGTTCAGAACAATGAAAGGATAGAATTCACACATGCCTTACCTATGGAACAAACCCAGGAGGGACAAAGGGTCACCTCAGCACGATTGAAAGCAACAAGCACAGTACGCGAGTGAGTGATGACTTGTTGGAAGTTAGCTGTAAATCATGGTATGGCCTTCTTTGCACTGAGGTTTCAGTGTTCTGAAGCTACATCTTTATGCATGATTTCTTAGCACCCGGACCTAATTTAAAGTCTTCCTAATACTGTTCATAGAAATATTCTGACAGCCCAATTTCCAATGCATGTTTATAACTGAAAGTTTCATAATGCTTTAATTTCAGTATATGCTGAGTGATTCTGTTCTAAAAATATGCCCTGAGCAGCTAGTACATGATGAGTAAATGGGTCAGCCCTCCTGCTTTGCTACCTTGTTTTACAACATTGCAAATGATTTGAATGAGAACACCCACATGAAGAAACTGTCTTTCTGAAAACTCCTAGTTTTTCCATCACCAGAACCACAAGCTGAATCATTGTGGAGAATCAAAAATTCTTAAATAAAACCTGAAGTGAAAAACCTAACTTTCAGTAACCCCTGCCAATTGTGAAAAGGTAGAAACATTCTCAATGCAGGTGAGTAGTTGACAATAATTTTTTTAAATCACCAATAAATTAAGAATGGGCTGCACTGAAACTTAAGTTTGATTTATATTACAGTTGGTCTCTCTGAGTTAAGATGATTAAAGGAATTAGCTGAGTGGTAAATGCATATAATAGATGAACTTAAACACTGGCAAGAAATTTGTATCTCTAAAATATGAAATTGCAGTTTTAGTCTAATCCCTGAGGATTTGGACCTCAGGGTTTCTAGTATTTTATTTTTATTAAATCTTCAGTAAGTTACTTTTTATGAGAAACTCAAGAGTATGGAATATGTAAAATATTGTGGTAGAGTCTCTATTTTATTATGAAAGGATTCTTCTGGTATGTACACAGGAACCAAAAATATCAGTTTATCATTCCCACTCACAGCACCAACAGTAACAGGGTTTCTTCATGGTGCTTAGAGAAACTGCCTTTCCCTTGCAAATGTCTCTCTGTGAGACTGCAAAGGTAAAAACACTCATCTATGAATCTCGTACTTACAGTCCCTGACTTAACAGTGGTTTGACTTAATGTTTCAACTTTACAATGTTGCAAAAGCAGTATGTGCTCAGTAGAAACCAGCTGGGGCTAAGCTGATGTTCAGCAGGTTAGGTGTACTGAAGCATTGTTGACTTACAGTATTTTTAACTTACGATGGGTTTATCAGAACATAACTCCATAGTAAGTTGAGGAGTATCTGTACACATTTTCTAGACACTGAGAAAAAAATGATAAAGCTCTTTCAGCATGGCAGTCTGTTCATTTAAGGTAATTTGATCAAATACCATCTCCTAAGGCCACACAAGACTTTTGTTTGTTCCCTACTTTACAAATGAGGACATTGAGACCCAAATTCAGAACGCCAGGACTAGGATGCAGGTCAGTGATTTTTCTATACCTGGTGTACATATCAGCACTACTGGGCAGGTTTTAAACCCTATACTTGTAGGGCCCTATCCTGAGGAAGAAGGGTTTTGGGTGCAGCCTATGCACATATTTCTTGACAGAGCTTCTCAGATGACTGTTCCATAACTTGGGTTGTAAAGGAAGTGGAATGCTCAGATTTGACAACAAGGATGTTACTGTCCCTCCTCCTCTGTACATTCAGTCCCATATTGCGCTTCATGAAACACATGATAAGAGAAATAACTCACCATAATTCCCCTTTCCCATGAGACAGGTAGCTCTAGTCTGCCAGATGTTGATAAAATAAGAAAAAAGAGGGCAACAAATCAGTAGACCAAAACCTTATGGCAGAGAGGCCTGCAGTTAGGGCAGCACAGCCAGCACCTGACCACATGCTACCCCTGAGGGTGCCACCTGACATCCTCAGAAGTCAGAATCAGTTGGGGTAAAAGCTGACTTGCCTTTAAAAAACCAAAGTGGCGGTGTATTAACTTGTCTTTCACTGAGTCTAAATTGAGAAACAATCAAGGGCAAAGGATTTAAGGCAGCGATTTTCAAACCTTTTTCACCTCATGGCACACATAAACCAACTACTACAATTCTGCAGCATACCAAAAAATTTATTTTTCACCGACCTGACAAAAAATGTAGGTATAGTTTTGAGCTATTCACACCAGTTAGCTATTGTTGTGTTGGCTGTTGTCATTTTTTTTTTATTTCACAGTCTAAGGGAAAGAGGTCAGTGACCCTGACTAAACAGGCAGGTAGTGCCTGTTTTAAAAATTCTAGTGGCACACTGGGTGAGAATCGCTGATTTAAGCCACTGATTTGGGTGCTACTGAGACTGGAATTATAAGCTGTTACTGGAAATTCCCTAAAACAAAAAGGGATTTAGGGCCTGATAAATTTAAGTCAAAGATCTACTTTTTCTTGACAGCTCAGCCAATTCTTCCCTAATGTGCTGTATGGAAACCTCATCCCTTTTCAGCTCTGCTTGCTTCAGTGCTTCCTGGTAGATCTCTTTTGCTTGTGCATATCGTTCTAAAATAACCCAGAGAGAAGGGAGAACATAATAAAAAAAAGTGTTTCAAAGTGATTCTGAAGAGAAAGCACTATTTTAATATAGGCCTACATTATCATATACTTAATAAGTAACAGGCCGGTCCTGCCTCATTTCATCCCCAGGTGACAAGCTGAATGCAAGAGGTTGTAAGCTGGTGCAGGAAACTTACCCTAGTGAGTGCTCTAGGACTCCTGACTGTGCCAACACACCCCTGGGGCCCTTATTCCACTGGCCAAGAACTTCCCTAATGCTGACAAAGGACCTGTTACTCCTGGTTTCTGGAAGTTGTAGGTTGAGGCCCTGAGTATTATAGCATAGTATGTCTGTCAAACTGATATTCCATCTTAGCAGCTTCATAATTCCACTGTTAAGAACATACTCAGTTATACGTGTGAAAACATTTAGAAATCTGTAAAGCATTACAGAAACGAAGCACTGTCATCGCAAAGTTTTCTCTACAATGATGTGGTTCAACAAGCTGAGGCAGGACTATAAAAGTTAAGTAAACTGACCACAACGGCATTTCAGCCAAACATACATCCTTTTTTGTATTCAGCCAGCCTTTTAATTAGAGGACTCTAATTTTTAGTTGTATAGCTTCCTTACTGCCCAGCATTGCCCTCCCAAAATAGCATTTCACAATTTATAAATCCAGTAGCACCCCTTCCTACCTAAAGCAAGTCAGTCAAAATGTTACAGCTCCCTACCTCTGTGCATCAGAATTGCAGCCAGATTACTGAGCACCATGTGTAGCTCAGGATGTTCTGTTTGTCTTGCCAGATCTGATGCCCTCTGTATGTAAAAACAGGCCTCATCCAAGTGGCCTTGTGCATCCAGGCTGGTAGCCAGGTCACTCATCAGCACAATGGTCTACACAAGGAAGAAAACACAGGGAGCTTTAAAAAAAAAACCACCTACACAGATTTAATATCAATTTGGAGTTTTAAAAACTGAATATACACTTAAAATTTCATCTTTCCTAGCATTCCACAAAAGGGAGGGATATCAGCCTGTAACAAGTATGTGCCTCTAGCATTCACAGTATATAATCGACAGCATTAGTTTGACCCTCTGAAAAATGATACAAATCCAGAAACTAGGGAACAGATTAAACATTTATTAATATAACTAATTATCATATCAGAAACATGAAAAATAACAGCACAAAGCTAGAATATTCCATTTAAGTTTCAGCAATCTTAAAAAGCCAGCCCCTGGAGCCCTACTGTAGTGTAATATCATTCCAGTCCGTGACCCTGGGATGCATCAAGAAGAAATACATCATCCACTTTAGGATGACTCCCATTAAGAGATTTTTAAATGTTGGTAATAAGAGATGTAGGTCCTATTCTCCTCCATGAAGTCATGCTTTAAGCCCCCAGTTATAGTACTTCTTGATTTGAATTCCATGTTTGTCTTATTATTCCTCAGTAATATTCCATTACAGGACTCTAGGAAAAGTCCTACACATCCTTTTCCTGAAGATAATTCATAACCCAAAACTTATCCCACCTATCTACCCCAGCCTTGGGAAATGTTCGGTCCAGTTAAAATTTTTGTCTCCTTTGTTGCTAATACCAAGCATTCACAAAGTGATCCACCTGTTACCTCTATAAACAATTTGGAAGGAAAGGCAAAGAGATGATTTCAATTCAATTCAATGTGTTTAGTGTTCTAACAGAAAGTTTGCACACTGTGCTTAAATTCTGTCAGTAGTTTTTAATGCAGTATCTCCTCCTTTTCCCCCACTTTCCTATCATTTTACCTGTGGGGAGAGGGAGGCAAGGACATTCAGGAGTTTAGGTGTTCCTAGTAAGATTCAATATTCGAAAATACAGCGCTGTGTACTCTGAAGCCCAGAAGCATACAGGTGCCTGGCTACACCTGCCTTTTAGAAAGGTTGTTCTGATGTGTGAACTGATACTCATTCCAAATGTTCTGGATAGATCCAGTAATTGATCAGCAATCTCAAAACCTTTTCCAAACAAGTAGTTAGGGGTGGTGAGGAGTGGTGGCAAGAAAATGAATGGACTAGGGGCATGACGGGGCGGGGGGGGGGGGGGGGGGACCATCTGCTGACTAGTCCCCAAAAGTGTGACACTGAACACCTATAAATTCTGAAACCTCTGTTTTCCTAGCTTACCTGCGGGTGTGTTTCTCCTAATATTTCTTCAGAAATATGCAAAGCTTTTTCATACATCCTTTGTGCCTGTGATGGATACTTGGACAACAGAAGGTAGCGAGCATAGGCATCTAAGCACATGCCAAGGAGGAGGTGGGTATTGGCTTTCTCATCCACTAAAAAGGAAACAAGAGCATTGCTGTGATATAGCAAGTAGAGTACAGAAACTGGCTAACCTACCCTAAACATTTTTCTTTTACCAAGACCCAGAAATATTTTACATTATAGGACCCCTGAACATTTCATGTCATGTAAGTGCTCCTAGCCTGACAATTGAGGTGGATTAACATCTAAATTGGTTCCTGAAACCAGTTCCAACTTGTGTGTAGGCAGGTATAGGGTCCCCCACACCAACTAGCAATTCTCAGCAACAGCCAGGTATCCAAGAATTCAACTCGCTTCTGACACCATCTACCCAGAGCTAGCATCAGATTCCACAGGTTGATGGTCCAGTCCCGCAAAACTGCCCTCCTCCCTCCCCAACTTTAATCACCAGTCACAAGTCCAGCTTGTTACCTGTGCTTCAGACAGAGTAGCTACAAATTCCCAACCACCCCCTCCAACTCAGGATGCCAATTGCAAGACCGGATTGTTGACCTGTACTTTTTAAATATATATATATATATTTTATTGATTATGCCATTACAGTTGTCCCATCCGCCCGCCACCTTCATTCCCCTGTACATCTGACTGGCTACAAATCAGAGGTTCCCAGAACTCTTCCATGGGTTCAATTAATTTGCTAGAGCAGCTCACAGAACTCAGAGAAACATGTTACTTGATTACTGGTTTATTATAAAAGGATATAACTCAAGAACAGCCAGACAGAGAAGCACTGGGCAAGGCAGTAGAAAGGATTGAGGAGCTTCCATGCCCTCACCAGGTGCACGACTGTCCCAGCACCTCCATAAGTTCACCAACCCAGATGTGCTACAAACTCTGTTATTTCAGAGTTTTATGGAGACTTCATCCCACAGGTGTGACATTAAACACTGACCACTGGCAACTGGTTCAACCTCCAGCCCCTCTCCCTCTCCTGGAGGTCACTGGGTGTAACTGAAAAGTTCCAACCCTCTAATCAGGAGATTGGCTGCACTGACGGAAAGCCCTATTGCTTAAGTGCTTTCCAAAAGTTGCCTCATCAACCTAACAAAAGGTATCTAGGTTACTCACAACACTTAAGAAATTCCAAGGGTTTGGGAGCCAGGAACTATGGATAAAGACCAAATAAATGCCCATAAGAAATATATATTTGGTCAATATTGCAACACCCAATTAAATGACAAACTTTTCCCCACTTAATTGAGTCCACACACTGACTAAAATATGCAATATTATTTTAGTTTGAAAGTAATATTTAGCATATACATGTGAAAATAAGGCCTGGAGTAGAATGAGTTAACAACAAACAAAGTCTAGGGCCAATGAGAAAGTTTTAAGGTGCAAAAAAAAAAAACAACGTAGTAAAAAACCACAGGCTGTTTGAATCCTGAAATGCAAAGTCACAAACCAAATTTCGAGAACAATTTTAAAGATTCATTTTTTTGAATAATAATAAAGGTTGCAATGATAAAGCACTTCTTGACACACATTACAAAACTGACTACACAACGTCTGGTAAAAGCACCAAATGCCCTGTAGAACTGGAGAACACAGATCAAGCTCTTAAGAGCCCAGTAATGTGTCTGGCATATAACAGGCATTCAATTGTACTTGACTGACTGGTTGAGTGAATTAAAAAAAAGGTACTGAACTAAATATGGAAAAGGTATACATACCAGTAATGAAACTAAAAATTAATAGAATTAAACAGTCACTCCATTGATCTATGAAAATTCAACAGAGCTGTCATTACAAATCAGTAACAAAAGGATAGGCTAATAAAACAGGTCCAAGCTAAAACCTGTCCATAAGGGAAGAAAAAATTATATTGCCACCTCTTACCACATTAAAAAATAAATACTAGATACAGTAGCTCAGTTGGGTGGAGCATTGTCCTGACACGCCCCGGCTCAGGGCACACACAGGAACCAACTATGGAGTACATAAATAAGTGGAACAACAAATCAGTGTTCTCCAAATCATTTAAAAATTTAAAATTCTAGGTCACAGAATAAAAGACACAGGGAAAGGGAAAAGGTAAAAGAATGTTAAATTGTACTCATCTTACAGAAGAAACTGAAAACAAATGTTTTTTTCTGAGTCAAATATGTTTGGAAGAAACTTTCAGGTTTGCCTTAACAGAACTGAAAACCATGTGTATGCCTTCCTTTCAAAACACATAAATGGAGATTTAGTGAGGAATACATCCCTGTAGGGGTATAAGGACCTGAAAACAAAAGAAATAACAAAAATAGAAAACATTTTTAAAAATGCAACAATTAGGTTAAACATCACTTTTAGTACTAATATAAATAGGTTTTAAAATTATCTCAGGACAATGGTATTTTTTAAAAAAATTTAAACAAAACCTTCTACAAAAGACATACAACAAATGACTAAGAAAGTTAAGAAGGCAAGATATAGTCAACAATGTAAAATTAAATTTGTGACAACTTGGAAAAAATCTGATGAAGAGATAATGAAGATACGTATCTTCAATGAAGATACCTTCAATGATATAGATACAACATATCTCTTCAATGAAGATATATCTAGGACTGTTTAAACAGCATAGATACATGTGTAAAGATCACAAAAACAAAAATTATTCCTAGAACAACAAAATCATCAAAACTTGGGTAAAACTAGAATCCTCCTAGACATAATGGACATCACACAACAATAAATAACAGAATATACTTTCCTCTCAAATACACATGCAACATTCTCCAGGAAAAACCGTATATTGGGCTATAAAATAAGTCTCAATAAAAGACTGAAATAATCAGAACATGTTCTCTGACCACAAGAGAATGAACTCAGAAATCAACATCAGATGGAAATTTGAGGAATGCACATACATATATGGAAATTCAGCAACATACTCCAAAATATCCTAACAATAGAAAATACTTTGAGACATGAAAATGGGAACATAAAAAAAATTATGCAAGGGGCAGGGGAGGCTGGGATGGGAAAAATAGACAAAAAACTGTACATGAAAAATAACTAAATAAAATTAAAAAAAAAAAAAAAAAAAAAAATTATGTATAGATGCAGCAGAGGAAATTATGGTTGTGAATACCTATATATACTAGAAAGATCTTAAATCAATAACCTAATCTTCCACATGATACACTAGAAAAGAACAAAATAAACCCAAAGCAAGCAGAAGACATAATAAAGATTAAAAGTGGAAATCAATGAAATGGTAAAACAATATAGGAAAATGAAACCACCAAATGGCTCTTTTTGAAAATATTAATGAAACTGACAAGGAGAAACTGAATAAAATAATAGAATGATCCTTCATAAACTGAGACTGGTAACATAATATAGAAAAGGTAACTCATTTAATAAATTACATTATCACATTCCAGCAAACTTTTAACATAGTATTTAATGAACCCCAGTCACAGACTTACAGCATTTAATTCCTGTAACAACTCCATAAGGCAGGTTCTACTATTATTTTATTGAGGAAACTGAGAAAAGTTAAGTAACTTACCTATATTCACACTAATAAGTGTAAGAGCCACTTACTTTAAACCCTCATGCAACTAAATCTACCACCAAAAACACTTCAACTTTCCAGAAATGTTTTGATTAAAATATAAAAATGAATGAACATTTCAGCTCAAGGAAAGGAAGGGGAAGGAATCAATGGGGGGAAAATCTCTTAGAAGAAATAACTCTAAAATTAAAAACTCGGAAAGGAATATGTTCTCAGTACATGGAGAATACTGAGTTATGCTTTTAAAATATAATCCCATAAGAAAGGTTCTTCTAGGAAAACACAGCTCTCCAAAATCCTTTTACCCACTTATTCACTTATTCAACAGATATTAATACTATGTTAATAAAAAATATGGCACTGTGTCCTTGGCACTGTCCTAGCTACTGAAATCAAATCAAGAAAAATGGAAGAAACAAATGTATGAGTAATTGAGGAAGGAAGAAAAAAAGTTGCCAGATTAATCAACTCTAAAGATGTCCATATGGTTTCATAAACCCCATAACTCTGAAGGAATGGAGCATTCCTATGTAAACCCCATACCAATTCCCAAACAGAACATATAGAAAGCATTTCAATTAATCTTATCACATTAATAAAGTCCTACGATGACAAGCACAGTAAACTATGGATCTCATAAGAAAATAAATGCAAAAAGTTCTACATAAAGTCTCAGCATTAAACATCTAGCACTATACTGAACAATTAACCAATGACTAGGAAGCCTGGTTTGCTCTAGATATATAATAGTAAATCTGTTCATACAATTGTCACCAAACTAGATTATAAGACAAAGTTGTCCATCACCACTATCATTGGAGGTTGTTCTGTGATTATTTTAAAATATATTTTATTGATTATGCTATTACTGTTGTCCCATTTCCCCATTCATTCCCCTCCACCCTGCACACCCCTCCTCCACCACCACCCCTTTCATTTATGTCCATGTGTCACAAGTTATTTAGATTCTACATTTCCCATACTATTCTTGCCCTCTCCCCTATTTTCTACCTACAGTCTATGCTACTTATTCTCTGTACCTTCTCCCCCCTTCTCCTCCTCCCACTCCCCTGTTGCTAACCCTCCATGTGATCTTCATTTCTATGGTTCTGCTCCTGATTTAGCTGTCCTCTTAGTTTGCTTTTGTTTTTGGTGTGGGTTCTTAATAACTGTGAGTTTGCTGTCCTTTCACTGTTCATCTTTATCTTCTTTTTCTTAGGTAAGTCCCATTAACATTTCATATAATAAGGGCTTGGTGATGATGAACTCCTTGAATTTGACCTTATCTGAGAAGCACTTTATCTGCCCTTCCATTCTAAATGAAAGCTTTGCTGGATAGAGTGATCTTGGATGTAGGTCTTTGGGTTTCATAACTTGGAATACTTCTTTCCAGCCCCTTCTTGCCTGCATGGACTCTTTTGAGAAATCAGCTGACAGTCTGATGGGAACTCCTTTGTGGGTGACTGTCCCCTTATCTCTTGCTGCTTCTAGGATTCTCTCCTTCATTTTAATCTTGGCTAATGTAATTATGATGTGCCTTGGTGTGTTCCTTCTTGGGTCCAACTTCTTTGGGACTCTCTGAGCTTCTTGGATTTCCTTTGCCAGATTGGGGAAGTTCTCCTTAATTATTTGTTTAAGTAAGTTTTCCACTGGTGGCTGTTCCTCTTCCCCTTTTGGTAACCCTATAATTCGGATGTTGGAACATTTAAAGATGTCCTGGAGGTTCCTAAGCCTCTTCTCATTTTTTTGAATTCTTGTTTCTTCATTCTTTTCTGATTGGTCACTTTTTTCCTCCTTCTGGTCCACTCCTTTGACTTGAGTCCCAGTTTCCTTTCCATCACTATTGTTTTCCTGTGCACTTCCCTTCATTTCAATTAGTTTAGCCTTCATTTGTTCCTCTAATTTGTGACTAAAATCAACCAGTTCTGTGAGCATCCTGATCACCAGTGTTTTGAACTGTGCATCTGAAAGGTTAGCGATCTCTTGGTTGCTTAGATTTATTGGCTCTGGGGCTTTGAGCTGTTCTTGAGCCATGTTTTGGTCTGTTCTCTCCTATTACGTATGAGGGGCAGAGCCTTAGGTGTTCACCAGGGTGGGACAACCCAGTTGGTGGGTTGTGACACTGTAATGTGGAGGCAGGGTCATAGAGGGGCAATGGCGTTTGTTCTGCTCACTCTCAGATTTCTGTCCCCTCTGCTGCTTCCCATTAGCAAACTGGGCCCTTCTGGTGCTGGTTCCCGGGTGTGTGGGCTTGTGTACCCTCCAGGACCCTGTGGGTCTCTCCAACAAATTCTCTGAGCCTGGGAGCCTCTCCCCGCACCTTGACCTCTGAAAGTCTTTCCATCTGATGCCTTTAGGCTCTAATTCCCCATCGATGGGGCCCTAGCCTGAGTGGTCTGTGCTCGCTCCTTGGCTTGCTTTATCTGCGTATGAATGTGTGACTACGTGACCACCGCTTGTGCTCCTGGGTGGGTCCAACTGATCTTTCCTGCCTGACCCCGCTTTGCTACTGACTCAACCCCTCTTACTGGTCTGGCTGAATGGTTCATTGTTGTTGGACTTCCTTACAGTTCAATTTTCTGTGTTTTGGTGCATTTTTGTTACTAAAACTTTGTTGTCTTTAAACTTGGTTGTGCGAGGAGGAACAGTGTTTCCACCTATGCCTCCATCTTGGCTGGAAGCTCTACGATTATTGCCAGTGAACTAAATTTAATGGGGGAAGGGGGAGAGACACAGAAGTACATCTAAAAGAAAACAATTCTCATGATTTCCCATATGTATAATTACATATATAGAAACAGTGTGAATATCAAATGAAAAGCAAATAGTTTAGTCAAGTATCCATTTGGAATCAAAGGTAATTAAACAGATGTTAAATCTATGTGAATGAATCTGTAAGCAAGAACCACATCATGTTCCTCAATGGGAAGACTGAATATTGCACAAACAGTGTAGTAAGGGACTTCTTTGATAGCATGCTGCAATTTGTCCCAGTATCCACTCCTTTCAAGCAGAGGGGATTTCTACCTGCTGTTGGGAATGGATTCTGACCAGTTTTAGCCAATCATGATAATCCCATTTCTCTGGCCAAAGACTGGGTTAGAAATACCAAGAAACCCTTCTCGTCAATGAGAAGGAAGAATAAATTCACCTGTGGACTTCCAGAAAAGATGACCTGCATTCTTTAAGAAACAAAGAAGTCTCCTTTTCCTCCGGACGTTGGCATTTCTGAGTGAGAGGCCTGGGACCTGGTATGGTCACTCTCCGACCACAGGAGGGGAGGTGGGAGGGTGACCAGAAGACCAACACCCACAGCATACCAGTGAGGAGGGGAGGGAAGAGACAGCCCTGCAGGACTGCCATCCTACCTTAGCAATACACACATCAACTGGCCCAGCAGCCCAGCACCTTCTGCACACTTTCCAGTTACGAGAGGTTAAGTATCATTACTGTTTAACTTAATTTGACATTCTCCACTATTTGTAATCAAATGGTAACTTATTTATTCAGATGTCAAGCTCCTCAAACTAACTTATAAATATAATGCACATCTAATAATTCAGTCTCAAAGTACTGGAGACTTGACAAAATAATTTCAAATTCATGTGAAAATAAAAATAGGAAAAAATTTTGCAAAAGTAGCATTTGTGAACTTGGGGTAGCGAACACAGAATACAGGGTACAGATGATGTGTTATAGAATTGTGCACCTGAAACCTGTATAATTTTGTTAACCAGTATCACACCAATAAATTCAATAAAAAGGAAAGAAAGTAGCATTTGTGAGTAGCATCTGTATTACCATATAGTTCAAATATGTAATACCATATATTAATAATTCAAGCAATGTATACTGTTATAAATTTCATCAGATGAATAATCTAAATGGAAAACCCCAAGAGAAAGCCAAGCATATACTTAATACATAAGTACATAATGGTGACAGACTATCTCTATAGAAATAAAAAGAAAAGTTAGAATGAAAAATGGGTAAATATCTGATTTCAACACTGGAAAATGCCTTCCTAAGTACTAAGTTCTGAAAGAGCAGGGACTGTTGCCTCACTTGCTCCCGCAAATCCTAGAATAATAGCTGGCATAAAACAGCTACTCAATATTCATTACAAATTAACAAAAGCAAAGAAAATAAAGAATTCCTATCCAATCCCAAAAAGATTAAAGACTGGTAGAAATTATACTGTGTAAGTCATTTATGTGAAATATATCACTAAATTTTTAAAAACCAGGCCACAAATAGTATATACAGTATGATCCCTAATATGTTTCTTCAAATGTAAATAGATTAGGACAAAAGCAAGCTTACAGAGATATATAACAAAAAATAGTAGTGTGATTACAGATGATCTTTATTCTTAAGGGTTTCCAAATTTTCCTCAATGTACTAGTATTAGTTTTGGAATCCAAAAAGTTAATTTTACACTCAAGAAACTGTCTATAGTGGATGCAACAAATGAAAGGCAGCAAGGGTATGGACAGCGTGACTTGGTTTTATATCTTTTGTGAACTTCCTCAAAGCACTCCACACTGCACAGAAAATATCACTTGTTTTGGTCTTTTATTCTTTCATTCAACAATTATTGAGCCTCAATTATGTGCCAGGCACAGCTCTAGGTACTAAGGATACAGCAGTTAATAAAACAGATGAACTCTTTGATAGGGAAGACAAATACTAAAAAGCACCTGAACAAAAATATACTTTTAGTGGCAATACAAACACAAGCACACAACACAGACCTGCTTTTAAGTGTGAATAAAGAATGAATGATAAAGTGCGAAGAGATGACAGACTTCATCAGGGCAAGCTACCTGAGGAAGTGATATCTGAGCGCAGAACTAAATGAAGAGAGCCAGCCATGTGAAGGTACAAGAGAACAGACCAGGCAGAGGGAACAGCAAGGAAAAAGGGCTGGAGACAGCACTGAGCTTGAAATGAACAGCAGCAAGAAAGACTTGTATGGTGAACATGGAATAAGCAGAGGGAGGGCAAAAGATGATGCAGAAGGGGCAGTTAGGGGTCAGATTATGTAGGGCCTTATAGGTAGGTCCACACAGGGATTCTGAATTTGTTCTACAGGTGATGGAAAAGCACTGATTTCCTAAAAGATCACTTTGCCTACTGCACAAACAGACTAGGTGAGGGAATAAAGGGAGGCAGGAAAACCTGTGAGACACTAATTATAGGTGTCCAGGCAAGAGACAGCAATGGCCTGGACAAAAGCAGCAGGGTGAGAGGATGGGATGAGGCGTGGTCTGAGAAGGGGATGTTTTGATAGCTGATACAATATAATTTGTTGGTGAATTATATATAAGAAACAAGGAAGAAATCATAGATGATTCTTAGGTTCTTGGCCAAAGCAAGTTAGGTGAATGGTGGTGTCACTTATTAAACTGAGGCTTGGTAGAGGATCAAATCTGTGAATGGCCAAAACCATGTTTATTTCAGACACAGTAAGTGTGAGGTGACCATTTAGAAATTCAAGATGTCAGGTAGATAATCTTACCCACAAGTCTGCAGTTCATGTGCAAGTTGGGGCTGAAGGTATAAAACTGATATTAAAGTTATGGAGCTTAAATGTTACCTTCTAGGATGTGAGGCAGAGAGAAAATGAGAAGAGGGCCGAAGACAGCCCTGAGGTCTGCTAACTTCAGAGAGTGGCGAAGGGGAAGGCAAGGAACCAGGAAGGCATCCACGTTTCCAACAGGAGACAGTGATCATCTGGGTCAGAGCTGCTAATAAGGACAGCAGGGAAGATAAGTAATGAGAACTGGTAACCTTCATAAAAAGAGCTTTAGTAGAGTGATGGAAAAAATGAGTTCTGCTCAAGAGAAAACTGGAAGGCAACTGAGTACAGACAACTCTTTCAAGGCATACTCATTGCTTTAGAGACAGCAGTTGACTACTACCCCTTCAACATCTTGTGAGCTCTTGGCATAAGAGTAAGTGTGAAATAAGAGAATGAAAGAAGGAATGTCAAATCTGAAAACTCCCAATATTTCAAAACATATTAAAAAACCCAAATGGTTTAGAGCTGGAGAGCTTCCTGCCCATCCCTTTCTATTCCTAGCTTAACTCTTTACGCTCTTCCCTCCACACTGACGATGAGTTGCAAAACTCCAGAACCAGAGTTCTAGAACCAGAAGCAACTGGAACCAGAGGCAATTGGAACCAGAGGCAATTAATTAGAATTATGACTGGTAGTGGAAGCTTCCCTTTTTGCTCAATTTTCCAGAGGTTATATATAATAAAAGTCAACATAAATTTTGAACATGTAACCAAGGGGTTATAAAAACAGTGGTCAAGTCATTTAACCAAAATATCTTATTCCAAATCCTCTGCTGAGGCCTTAAAAATAGCCACTTAATTTCCCAAACAGATGACTTTCCATCCCCCAATTCCCTTTCCCACAGACTGACGGTGAAGCCCTTTGGGGCAATGTCCAGAAAACAGCCAGAATTCCCTACCTGACAGAATGTCTTCTGCTATTTCCTTTTCTCTTTCAATTTTTTCCTCTAGTGTTGAAATGCAGAATTCATAGCCAGCAAGGGCAAATTCATGTCTGTAAAGCAAAGATCAGCAATCTGTTATTTGTTTTTTCACAAACTCTTCTTTTATCCTCATTTCCCCAACTATGGTTTCGTTATTATGAAGAAAGTAAAGTGGGAAGAGAAATTTCGTTTCAAGTCTCTGGGCAGTCAATCAGCCCTTTCTCAAAAGTTTTATTTTTTCCAAGTCACCCATTTAGTGTAACTTAAGACATAAGGAGCTGGGACCACAGCCATAGTTTTATAACCCACACAACCATCAACGTTCGTCCTCTCCCTCTAACAGCTCCGAATGAGTCCACTTCTCCCCTTTGGAAGCCTGCGCCTGCTCCGAGTAACACCACAAATGGAGGCTGAGGCCACCCTGAATGCCCCAGGGACCTGATGGCCTCATACAACTTCTGGAGACGTTTATTACCTTTATACTTCTTCCAAGCTGTTGGTCTTTGATGCAAGTTTCTCCTACAGAAATGGCACTAGAAGGCATTTAGCCTGACTCTAGCCCTGGACCCTCTAGCCCTTGTGTCCTCACCCAAGCAGCAGGCAGACTGACTCTGGATAGAGCAAGCGTCAACTGCTGGTTTCTGTAAAGACATGCACAGAAACATGATGGAAATTCCCTCTCCATCCAGAAGCTCAATCCTGGTTCTTGCTGTTTGGCTACAGTTTCTTACCAGAAGCAGCACTACAAAGCTCACCCCCTCTCCCCTGGTGCCTTGCCAAGGATAACAGATGACCCCACTGTTCTGCTCTGTTCCCAAAAGAACAGAAGCTTCCCCAGGCCCACACCTTGGCAGACATGGCTTGGTATCCGGCCGGGACACAGAGCAGGGGAGGCAGGCCACAAGATGCCCCTAGTCAAAGTGTCTATAAACTTCTGGTCTTATGCTTGTCTTAATAAAACAAAACAAAAATCACTCTTGAGTACAGAGTAATTTACAAATTATCAGTGACTTCTACACAAGTTTTCACCCCTATAAGACAATGACTTTGTCTCCTTCTTCAGTGTTATCAGCTTTGGGCTTCTTCTCTTCCTAGGAGTTCACACCCCTTGAACATCTAACTCCTCCAAGGGAGACTGATCTCAGCTGGAATGCTCCCTCGGATGGGTCAACTTCACAGCTCCAAAACAGACTTGAGGTCAAACGCCCTCAGCAGCTCTGGCCTATCGAGTATCCAACCAAGTGTCGGGAGACTAAGCTGCTCTTGCTGAAAATGAAGGAGCTGGTGAACAGGGCAGCAGGGACCAGGGTCAGGGCCCCTTATCTCAGTGAACACTCAATCTATAGCACCAGGCCTGAGGTCATTCCAAACCTCCAGGACTCAGCTTCTGTGGCAATTAACAATGTAAGGAAAAGCTTGTCTTAGGTCTTCCTATAAACTCACTCCAAAACATAACTCTCTAGAGTTCTCTGCTTACACCCTAAGTGGTTTTTCTTTGATCTACACCTAGAAAGAATGAAAGGCACCAGGCTTCACTTGCCAGTGAACTTTCTCGTTTGCTGACACTGTCAAAATTGTTTCTTCAAAGTTTATTATCCCTAGTAGCTTAGTTGCTCCCTCCTCTCTAGGAAGAGCTAAACTGAAGTTCTAACTATAATTTCCCTGATTAGCTTTGTCACTATACACACACGGTTGAGGGCTATATGCCCCACTCAGCAGGCCAAACCAAAACAGCAGGGGCAAAACTTGGAAAGACTGAAGATTTCAAAAACAAGGGAAAGGAACACTTTGAATGTGACACCAGTTTTTTGAGATCGGGATAATTATTAGATAAATGAAAATTATATAACATCCCAGGGTCAAAGTATTTTCTGCCCACAGTCCTGCTCCATCTGCTGCCACAACTAGATTTTAACTGTACTCACCTATTCTGAGCAGCATAGATACTAGCCAACTTTAGAGATATTTCAATGATTGCATTGTCTTCCTGTTGGGAAAAAGAGAAATGAAGGAAATACATGACAAGTAAAAATTCCTCATTGAATATTTCAGATCAACTTTTAGGTTGACTTTGGCCTCAAAGCCATAGTCTTTATCTTTTTAGAAGAATTAGGCAACTGTGAATTCCTCAGCTACCATTCTTTTGCATGAGTGAAAGATTGGCAGTTTTTATACAAGTCCTGGTGGGAAAAACCGACTTTTTTTTGGCCAAAGCCATTGTTGGGGGATGGGTGGAGTTTTTTTCAGGATGCAGGGCTATTTTGAAAACTCCTTTAGTGAGGGTCCAATCCTAGATAATGTCCTTACCTGTTGCATGCCCCCTCCAAGCAGGTAACTCATTGTTGCTTTAAAAAGTTTTTCCGCCTAAAACCATAAGGAAAAGATTTCTCTTTTACTTGGTTGGCCCACACTCTCTATATGACTCTGGCTGGATTCTAAGTACTAGTCTGATGCATTATTCTTAATTAAACACAACACGCACACACACGCTCACATTCACATACACACAGAGAAAAGTATCCTTGTGATGAAAAATCAGATGAAAAAGACCTGGACCCCACATCTTCTGTGCACCTTAAAAACTAGTCTGTAATAAGTAGAAACTTTAGAAATTAACTTCTCATCCAAACCTACTGTGGCAGAGACTACAAACTATTCCCTAATATTTCCTCTCCTTTCCATCTTTTCAGTTACAGAATCTCCTCAATTTTTAATAGGCCAGCCTCTGCAGTTAGGAATAGGTCATATGATAAGGTTTTGGCCAAAAGATGCATGCAAAAGGAATGTGAAATTTAAAAAAATATTTTATAAGGAAACTGCTTGCCCTCCATCCTCTCTTTCTTCCTTCCTGCAAGCTAGAGGTGAGTCAACTTGTATATGCAGATGAGGACACATCTAAGAAGGAACCCGGGCTTTTGGACCACTACATGGAACAAAGGTACACAGGCCTCTTCAGTGTTTAATGACATCTGGACTAATGCATTAAAAAAAAAAGCACACCTCCTTCATATGTGAGTCACTCTATTTTGAGGTCTCTTTGTTACAGGGGCTTAGCCTGTACCCCTTACTAATAGCATTCCCATGAAACTAATCCTTCACAAATTCAAGATATTACAAAGTGATTTACTTACATTTTCAAGCTGACCCCGTATAAATGCTAAGTTGGCCATCTGAAAGTAAATTACAAATTGTTTTCCAGTTTAGAGCACTGTGTTGGTACTTATTTCAAACCTTTAAGCTAAAGACTCTTTTTGCTTTTATCCTCTAAATAAAAAATTTTTCAGAGAAAAATATGTCACTAATCTAGCAAAGTACAGCAATGATATGACAATAGATACTTGTATATACTTTGTGGATGTCAAACCAAACACAGATCCACTTATTCTTGAAGAAACAAATGTTAATGATATTGTTTCTTTTTGGTCTGGGATTGAAACTTCTCCTAAGGGACACCCCAAGTGTGGTAAAAATTGAAACAAAAAGAAAAAGTGAAAACAAAAACCAAGAGCTTTACATTCTTGCCAGGCAGGAGTGTAAGAACTCTTCCCTCTCAGCTACCCTTCCTCTGTGGTTCAGATTATGAGTTACCAAGTCGTAAGTGTAAGTGATGGCCTTCTTGTTATCACTCTGATAGGCAAGAAGAAGTGCGTCATGCAAAATTAGCTCAGCCTCTTCTGGCTCATCTTTCATGATGCTCAACTGAAAAGAGAAAAACATGGAAAATGAAAGGTAAAGAAAGCACATGCTACCAGACAGAAGATATGGCTATATACCTCAATACACAGAAGGAAACCATTCATTCGTTTATCAAATATTTACTGAATTCCTACAGTACACTAAGCATTTTATCTGCAATGTTGACAGGGAGGTCAGCTTCTCTTGCAACTATGTATGGCCATATGACAAAGGTTTGGCCAACAGATGCAGACAAAAGAAATGTGAGCAATTTTTACATTATACTTTATAAGAAAGCTTTTGGCTCTACATCCTCTTTCTTCCTGCAGGCTGGAAGTGACCCTGTACAACAAATAAGCTTAATTACAACTAATGATAAAAACTATGAAAAAAGTAGTAAGAAGGAACAATAAGGGTCTCCTTTAAATGGGAGGGCCAGAGAAGGATGAGAGTCAACCAAATAAGGAATTGTAGGGGTAAATGGCTCAAACAGAGTATAAGGAATGAGCAAAGGCCTTACAGGCTGAAGAGTATGATTCTTTTTTTTTTTTTAAGATTTTATTCACTTTTACAGAGAGGGTGAGGGAGGGAGAAATAAAGGGAGAGAACTGTGGACATGAGAAAGAAACATCAATCGGTCGCCTCTGCAACTTGGGACATAGCCTCCAACCCAGGCATGTGCCATGACTGGGAATTGAACCAATGACCTTTCTGTTTGCAAAACGATGTCCAACCCACTGTGCCACACCAGTCAGGGCAAGAATATGGGTCTTTAAATACCATTCAAGAAATGAAAAGAAACAGATGTGAAAGGGAAGATGGTGAAGTAGAGGATTACTATCAAATGGGTTGGCAAGGTAGGGTGGTATCATGTAGGGTCTTGCAGGCCATGGCAAGGAGTTTGAATCTGATCATAAACACAGTGGGAAGTCATTCAAGATGTTTAGGCAAGAAGATGATATGATCTAATTTACTTTTAAAAACTCACTCTGGCTGCTGCACAAAGAATGGAAATGTAGGGGGGCAACAGGGCAGGTGAGACTCTTAGGCAGTAGGCTGTGACAAAAATGGCTGGGTAATAGCAGGAAAGATAGAAAAAAGGGGGCTGACTTTCTGGATTTGGTGGCAACAGAACTTGTTGCTGGACCGTAAGAGCACTGGGACGCAGTGGTAAGGTTCCCCAAGTTTTAAGAATGATTATGAGGTTTCCAGGCTGAAAAACTAGGTAGATGGTAGAAAAGAGAAAACGATAAAGGAAATGTGTTGGGGAGAAATTTAAAATCGAGAGTTTAGTTTTGGGCAAGTTAAGTCTGAGAGGTAGGCAGAGCCTCCAAGGGGAGATGGCATGTCACTAGCACAGCGTGAGAATATAAATTTGGATGTTGTTGGCATCAAGGCGGTAGTTAACCCAATAAAAGAGATGGGATAACCTAAGAAGGATGAGAGAAAATAGAAGAATGTGGTGAAAAGGATGAGTTTAGAAATCAGAGAACGAAACAGCTCATAACCGGCACTAAAATTCCCTTTCAGGACGTCACATACTGTACATAAAAAATTCTCTATGCCCGTCTCCTCAGGATAGCTGGCTCACCGACAAAACTACAAAAACATTTCTGCTAATTTTGTTTAAAAGAACGATGCCTGTGGTGCCACTGACATCTGCACCTGAGACTGCAGCGGGTTCCAACACCGCCCCGCTCCCCCATAACCCATCTAGTGCCCTCGGAGCCTCTTCTTCGGCAAATGGCAGAGCGATGAGCATCCCTAAAGCCGCTTCACCTTCGCCCGCTTCAGCAGCAGGATGATCTCCGCCTCGACCTCGTCCGCCGTACCCTCGGCGGCCGCTGCCGGCCCCTCCTTCTCCTCCTCCTCCTCTCCGGCGGGTCTCGAGAACCACGCGAGGGCTGCGGAAAGGGGTTCCGAGGTCACCAGGCCGGCCTGCGCTGTCCCCTCCCACCGGCCCCACCGGCCCCGCAGGGCCCGCAGGCCCCGCCGTCCCCGCCGCCCTCACCTGCCAACAGCGGCATCAGGCCGGATCCCCTGCCCTCTGGCGCGACTCGGGATGGCGGCACCGCCACCTCGGGCGCCCTACCCCCGGCCCGCACCGGTAGCAAGTGCGCCGGACAGACCCGGCACCGCCGCCCCGCAGCCCGCAAAAGGCCTCGGCCCAGGTTAGGGCTCAGAAGCCGGTACATGGTCGCGCCCCGTCCTCTGCGCACTTCAGGTCCGGCCAAACACCGAGATGTCTGGTCCCAGCTCAACGCGCGGGTAGGGCCGTGACGTACCAAAAAGCGACAGCCTTCCTGCCGTCTGCGCGATGACGCAACTTGCTGACGTCTGCGCGATGACGCAAGTAAACGTAACGGCGCCGCGCGGCACCGTCCCCGCCGTGGGGCTAGTAGTCCGCGGGTCTGTTTTGACGGTACGTCTGCTGCGCTGCCTGAGGCCGTATGTGATAGAGCCATGGCTGTTGCCTTACCGGTGGTCACATTGCCAGCTGTTGTGGAGGAGCTGCTGAGCGAGATGGCCGCGGCGGTGCGGGACAGCGCGCGAAGTGAGGGCGGGAGACCTGTGGCTGGCTGGCGGGTCGTGGGCGGGCCCCGTCCCCCCGGTGGCGGGAGGCGGGGGTCTGCTGGTCCGCGGGGCGCCGCGTTCGGGTCCTGGACTCTGTGCTCCCCTCCCGTTCAAACGGGTGCTTGTTTTCGGTGCCATTCTGTCTCCAAACCCCCTGGTTCGTAAAAAAACAAAAAGAAAAAAGGGAGGAGGAAGAGGGGGAAAGGTTGGGGTGGGCGAGGGGAGAAAAGAGAAAAGCTAAATGTGTCCGGGGATAATGCGGTTGCTGGCTACGCCCCCCCCCCCCCCCCCGTCAGCTAGTGGGAGGCCCAGGGGAGAACTCAGGGCCGGGAGGGCAGAAGGGACGGAAACCTCCACGGGCTCATAGAAAGGCAAATTTTTAAGTTGTTAAACGTGACAGTACTCTTTTTTTCATGATCTTAGGTTAACTTTAGTCTTCTCATACTTTCATTAGCAAATATTTTAGGGCCACAAAACCCAAATGCACAAGCAGTGACTGGGGTGAGTCTGACTTTTGTGAGAGTACCTTTTTCCCCAACCGGCGGAGCGCGCTCTGTGACGGTGCTCACCATAACCACAGCGAGGAACTTAGGACAAAGCACGAAGAGGATACTTGGGATCAAATGCATCGGCTAACTAGAACTACTCAACTGGTGTAAAAATGGACAGTTAATAAATAGCAAAGTAGGCTCAATAGCCATTACTTATTCACTACAGCAGGTTTAAAGTTTTTTTTTAACTTACTGATTTTAGAGAAAGAGGGGAAGGGGAAGAGAGAGAAAAACATCAATTTGTTCCTGTTATTGATGCATTCGTTGGTTGATTCTTGTATGTGCCCTGATGGGGATTGAACCACAAGCTTGGAGCACTGGGAGGATGCTCTAACTGGCCAGGGCCTATGGACTGCACTGTTTTTAAAGAATTGAGAAGAGTAAGCCAATCTTTTTTCTCATTTCAGTTAACACTAAGGTGATATATATAATATATATATATACACACACATATATACATATATATATATATATACACGTATATACACACACACATATATATACACACACACACTTAGAAGATTAGGCTAGCCAGGTATCCAAACACGTTCTGATCCCAAAAAGGGCAAGAAAAAAGTAAATCTGTTGTCAGCTCAAACCGTGGTTGCCAAATGGGGCTCTGTCCGCTCCTGTTTGTCCAGCGCTATGGCATGTTTGAGGATTGACCCTGGTGCTCATAGCTCAGACAGATGGACCACCGCTGCTGTTGTGTTTATTTTTGTGCTTAAAGATCTTTGTGCTAGTCATACATTCTTCCTGACCCTCATCCTTCAGTGGTAATGTTTTTAGAGCAGGATTCTGAGTACATTTGTATAATGATATAATCACAACTGAGCCATGTAGGAAGGTGTGATTATTTTTCCTTTCCTGTGAAACTGTACATTTTCCCTGGAGTTACAGCTGCCATAGTTGTGAATATGTGCTTGTTTAGTTGTCTTTGTTTCTCTAGTTCAACCTCAAATTCTTCATCAGTATTCTAAATTTATGTTCAAGATGTTCATTTGAATGAGAGGTTTGATCAGTCTCATTTTCTGTGGAAGTCTCTCCCAGAGCCCTCTGACTAGCTTTGGTAGGGGAACTGGCTGCTCCCCCAGCTGCCTCTTGAGATCTCCCTTCATTATTTTTATCCTGGGAATTCCCATCACTAATATTGTACCTTGTAGTTCTACGATTTTCTTTTTCTTGGTTTGCTACTTTATTTTATAGAAGTGACACTGTAATAACTTCTTGGAGAAAAATAAGAGATATGGTTTTTGAGACTTTACATGTCTGAGAAATGTTCTTTTTCTACCCTCACACTTAATTGATAGGCAACGTATTAAATTTTATGTTGGAAATAATATTTTTTCAGGCTTCTGAAAGTATTAGTCTGTCAACTTCTAGCTTCTTAAACTTACTTTCAAAGAATCTTATTTTAACCCCCCTGTTTCATCCCCACCTCCAGAGCTATCTGGTATCACCAGTTTCTGAGAGGTTTTCTTTGGGGGGGTTGAGGGGAAGATAGTAGATTCTGGAGTGTAAATCAGATTGTTGCTTGGTTCTCATCATTGCTAGCCTAGGATTCACTTTTGTCAGGTCTTGTAAATTATTTTCCAACATATCTTAGGTATTGTTTCTCCCTGTCAGTATTGTTGGAGGTTTATGCTTTTTTTTTTTTTAAAGATTTTATTTATTTACTTTTATAGACAGGGGAAGGGAAGAAGAGGGAGAGAAACATCAGTGTGCAAGAGGTACATCCGTTGGGCATGTCCTCAGCTGGGGACTTGGCTGGCAACCCGGGCATGTGCCCTGAATGAGAATCCAACCAGCGACCTCTCGGTTCCAAGACTGGTATCCACGGAGCCATACGAGCCAGGGTGGGAGTTTATGTTTTTATTTAAAAAGTCTTATTATTTAGTGGAATATTGGGAAGGAGTACAATTAGATACATAGGCTCAATTCACTGTCTTACACAAAAGTCTTTTTGGTTATAGTCCTTTTAAGATTTTGAAAAAATTATTTTCATTGATTTTAGAGAGAGATTTGTTGTTTTACTTGTTTATGCATTCATTGGTAGTTTCTTGTATGTCACCTGACTAGATATTGAAGACACAACCTTGGTGTATCAGGATGATGCTCTAACAAACTGAGCTACCCAGGCAGGGCTCTTTTAAGATTTTTATGTTTGCAGTCAATGGTTATCGCATTTTAAGGACCATAAGACGCACCTAGGTTTTAGAGAAGAAAAATAGGGAAAAAAATTTGAAGCAAAAAACGTGTTAAAATATTTAATAACCTGTGACCCTGCTCCAGTGCTGCCCCCCCACACACAGGTAAGCTACATTCAGACTATACGATGCACCCCCATTTCCCTCCCAAATTTGGGGTGTGTGTCTTACAATCTGAAAAATGGTATGTTTGCAGTCAATGAGTAACTTTCTTTCCATCCCTGTTTTACAGTTCCTGATGAGCATCTATTATCGTAAGTATATATCCTGTTGTATGTGGGGGGTTTTAGTCATTAATGTGTCTTAAAAGCCAAATCCTTTTAACATAAATTCTTGATTTTTAAAAATATTCTTACTAAACTAGGAACAATATTTTCTTGACATGATTATTAAAAACCTGTTTCAAGTGAATAGCCAAAACCATGTTTGATTGTACAAGGCATTCCGACATTGTCCTGTGTGCCACTTTTGTGTAACATTATTCTAGAAGTATAGCTGGTGCAAGAAATTAGAGGTATGCCTAACTGCAACTAAAGATAATTGTTGTTATTTATAGGTGATATAACTACTTTTTTTAAACCAAGAGAATAATTTTTTAATATAGAAATTAAAAATGTTTTTGTTTCATACACATAGTTCAAAAATAGAATTACATTCTCAATAGCAAGAAAAAAAAATGAAAGCTACCTAGGAGTAAAGAGCATGTCATTGCATGTATGTGTGTGTGTGTGTGTATATATATATATATATATATATATATATATGTATATGTTTAAAAGTCCAAAAGAATGTACACCAACCTATACTAGTGATCTTCATAGCGGAGATGAAGGAGGTAGGACTTAAGGGCTTTAACCTTTTATCTGCTTTTAAAATCTTTTTTACAAAGATTATGTGTTTTTTATGGTTTTTTTTTTTTAAGATTTTATTTATTTATCTTTAGAGGGGAAGGGAAGGAAAGAGGGAGAGAAACGTCAATGTACGGTTGCCGTGCGTCCCCTGCTGGGAACTGGCCTGCAGGGAACCGGCCTGCAACCCCAGTATGTGCCCTGACTGGGAATCGAGCCGTCATTGTCTGGTTCGCAGGCCCGACAAAGATTATGTTTTAAAGAAGCCATGTGTTCTCATACAGAATTATCCATAGGTAATCCCTTATGTTTTTTCTAATAACACATTATTCATATAAAAATTACTACTTTTAGGCCCTGGCTGGTGTAGCTCAGTGGATTGAGCATGGGCCTGCGAATCAAAGGATCACGGTTCGATTTCCAGTCAGGGCACATGCCTGGGTTGCAGGCCAGTTCCCAGCAGGGGACACACGAGAAGCAACCATACACTGATATTTCTCTCCCTCTCTCTTTCCCTTTGCTTCTAAAGATAAATAAAATCTAAAAAATAAATAAAATTTAAAAAATTACTTTTAAAACAAGGCAAGCAAATAAAAAAATGTATATTATCAAAAAAACTTTGGGGGGAGAGGTAAATCTTGGTTGTCATAAAAATACAAATTAAACTGGCTACCACAAAAGAGATGTTGGTAAGAATGTTCCAAATGTTGGCCAGAGCATGGAGTAAAGGATAACTGATACCCTGGCAATAGGAGTGTACTTTGGAAGGTAAGCTGACAATAAGCAGTAGAACTTTAAAACACTCATATTCTGTCCTGGCTGGTGTGGCTCAGTGGCCTGAGTGTCAGGCTGTGAACCTAGGGGTCACCAGTTTGATTCCCAGTTAGGGTATATACCTGGGTTTCAGGCCAGGTCCTCAGTGCGGGGCGCACAAAAGGCAACCAGACATTAATGTTTCCCTCTCTTCCTCCCACTCTGTCTAAAAAGAAATAAAAATCTTTTTAAAAACATGCATATTCTTTGACCCAGAATTCTATTCGTAAAAATGTGTACCAAAGAAGCAATCAAAGATATTCATAAAGATTATGTAGTGAACATATTCTTTCATATTGTTTATGGTAGCAAAGAACTAAACCATGAAAACAGTCTAATTCATATTAGATTTAATTAGATTTAATTTTTCACAAAATAGAGTTAGGGAAAAATAAAAGTAATTCATCTTTACAGTGAAATTCTTTGTAACTGTTAAAAGTGATAGAGAGCCCTGGCTGGTATAGCTCAGTGGATTGAGCACGGGCCTGCGAACCAAAGGATTGCGGTTTGATTCCCAGTCAGGGCACATGCCTGGATTGCAGGCCAGTTCCCAGCAGAGGACGCACGAGAGGCAACCATACATTGATATTTCTCTCCCTAACCCTTCCCTTCTAAAGATAAATAAATAAAATTAAATTAAAACTTTCTAAAAAAAAAGATAGAGAAAAATATTGCATTCAAGAGATACAGTGTATTACAAGGTGGACAAGGCAGGTTGAAAATTTTTTGTTAGATCCATTTTTAAAGTTTATTGTGATTACCTCTGATAAAGTCACCAAATTTTTTTCTTGTCCATAAATAATCTCTCTATTTTTAATGTAAAAAAGTTGAAGAACTCTCCTGATTCCGATAGTTTGTTGTATAAAGAGACTAGTTTGTTGGAAAATGAAGAAGTTGAACATTTTAATTTTGAAGTCTTAGTAGTTCTATCCTTGTCTCTGTCAAATCACAAAAGTTAAGTTAAAGCACTTAACTTTTCATTTTTGATTTAACCCAACCACTTTATTTTCCAGTTTATAAAAATAATCCATACTTGTTTAAAAAAAGTTTTTGGAAAATAAAACATGAAAAGTATTAACAGTCATATCAGCCAATGATAATCAGTGTTATGTTTTGGTTTATTACCTTTTGAGTTTTGTGGGGTTTTTTAGTTTTATTTTGAGGTAATCATAGTTTTTTTTAGAAAAATTAATATTGAGAGTTTCTAAATTTATAATTTTGTGTCTGACTTTACTCATCTAACATAAGAATTTTCCCGCATTTTTGATAGATCATTAACAGCTGAATGGCCTTTATTACTAATCAAAAAGTACAAATTTAACACTCATCAGACAGTCAGACATGAAGAAATCTTAACACTGATGTTGGTGACAATGTGGAGAAAATAGAACTTCACAGTGCTGGGGGCGATGCTGTTTCCACTGTAGACAGATATTGTCAACACCTGCTGAAAAATTTCCTGCACATATCCTAAGACCTAGCAATTCTGCTTTTACTTAAACCAGGAAAAATTCTCATATGTGTGTACTAAGGGACAGGCACAGGGGCGATTATTATTTATATTAGAGTAAAATGGAAACAATCAGAACGCCCACCGGTAGAGTTCTTAACCTCTAATTTAGTTCTTAAACTGAAGAATATGTACCTACTACTTTTATACATACAATAGAACATTATTCACAAGTTAATTTAAAAATATATATATATCAGTATGCATCATTTTCTAAAGCATGTTGAGTAGGGAAAGTTACCAAAAAGTCTACAATACACTTTTGTTTTAAAACTTATAAAACAATACCATGTATAATGCGTGTGTATGTGTGTAAACATACATATACACGTATACTAAGTGTAATAAAATACAAGGACATTATTAGGAAGGAAACCAACAAATGCTTGTGGTTGTCTCAAGAATGAAGGAAGGTTTGGAAGAATAGGAAGCACTATGAGGCATAAAAGAGGCTTCTTTATTTGTAAATAACATGTTAACATTCTGGGGGATTGATTGCATGGGTTTTTGCTATATTTTTTTCCAAACTAAAATGAATTAAAAATTTTAAAAGTGGTTCTGGTGATCCTTTGGGTCGAGTTACTGAAGTGAGTTTAAGAGTCAGGCAGTCTAACCTGAAACCTTTGTGTTTCCCAGGCTGAAGTTTGTCTTTGGATCATCAGCCCTCCAGGCCTTGGACCTCGTTGACCGACAGTCCATCACTTTAATCTCATCACCCAGTGGGAGGCATGTTTATCAGGTAGAAATCTAGAGGTGGGGGAATCTCAGCAGAAACCCCTTGGTGCAAAATGTTCTCAAAAATTTCTGTGGAAGTTGGTGACCAGCCTTAAGTATTTCCTGCACTGTTGAAAAGCATTTGATTCAACTTAGTAAAATTAGTGTGTTAGTAATTAAGATGAGATAGGTATGGCCTGTCAACTCTGCACAGTAGCACTGTATAGAACCACCAATGGTGTGGAGGGGCTATTTTCTCCCATCTGATGACTGCAGTTGACTTCTGATTTGCCATTGTTTGATAGTAGAGGTACTTCCCTAACCCCTCCCCGCCGAAAATGTACTGACATCTTCATCTTGTTCATTATCTCTTGCTTACAAGCAAAAGCCAAAATGTATTTTTGAGGTCCTTCCATATGCTCATATTCATCAGAAATGATCTTTTAAAATTGTTTTCCGGGTATATTTACTAAAGGTCAAACTGCACCAAATGCAGTCTGCTTGGACCTAAATTTTGCCCAACCTCTAGAGCAGGGGCATCAAACTCATTTTTATCAAGGGCCACATCAGCCTCGTGGTTGCCTTCAAAGGACCGAATGTAATTTCAGGACTGTATAAATGTAACTACTCCTTAACTAGGGAGACAAAGCTTAGCACTGCCACCAGGTAGAAACAAGGTGCTGGGCCAGAAAAAACAAGGTAGAGGGCAGGATTCAGCCCACGGGCCTTGTGTTTGCCATCTGTGCTCTAGAGTCTAGGGTTTAACACAAGTAGATTTTATAAAGTAACAGCCTCTTATCAGGCTCTGAATTACTTTCATGTGCTTTTTTTCATTCCTCAAAAGCCCAGCAGTGTATCTTTCAGGAAACAGAGTCAGAAAAGGAAACTAATAGTCATAGCCGGCAGCTGGGATTTTGTAAGTGCTGTTGTACACTGCTGGTCTTTATATCAACACTGAGCCAGACCCAACCCCCCCCTCCCCCAGTTTAGCTACAGAAGACAATGGTAAATGAAGCTGGGATTGAGGGACAGGAATATTGTGAATAAAATAAAAGTACATATTTTTATTTTCCAAAATTTTGTGCCTGGCTTAGAAGGGTCATCTCTTATAAATGTAATTCAGGCCATGATGAAGATCTGGAAGGGGGAAATAATTCAGTGTTTGGATTCTGACTTATATCCATTGAACTTGTCAGAGCTGAGACCATGTCAGTTAATAATGCTTTGTGAGTGATTGACATGAGTGAAGCCTGCTCGGGCAGTAGGTGCCTTTGCTTAGTGAATTAACTTGCCATTCAATATTGTAGCATAATGTAGCTGACCTGGCAAAATCTTCATACATTTCTTAATTAAGGATAATGGGGTAATTAGCGTTGAACGCTGCAGTTATAACTTTTGCATTGTATTTACTTAAAAGAGGCTGCATGTTAGAACCTTTTTCCTGGTGAATTTATAGATTAAGAATCAGAGCTATTAAATAATGTTTATACCTGAGGAGGTATTTTAATTTTCTTTTTTTTAAAGGGCAGTGCTATTTTTATTCAACATTTTCTTATGAAAAAAATAACCAAAATGTGTGTGCAGAACTAGGAAGGATCCTCACCTGCTGGGCTTTTGTGTGAACTAGTCTCCCACCCCCGGCCCTGCAGAGCCCCCTCCCCACATTAAACAGCAGGCTCAGGTCAGGTCTCCTGACATCAGGCACACTCTACTGCTGCTAGGTCCTCAACAGACCAGACTGCTCTGGAAACTTCTTCCACCCAGCTGCCTGGGAAGGTAGTGAACATAGGTGACTGGACAAAGAGTGGGCCTCCCTGGAAATGGTTGAGGTAACTCTTTCCCTCCACACTCCTGGCTGCCCCTGGGCCAGCAAGGTTCCCAAGGAGGCCTGAATGGCTCCCCAAGTGGGGGCCAAGGCAGAGAGGAGTGAGGCTTCAGCAGCAGGAGGGGGCACCAGATTTTGTTCCTAAGATCTTAGAAGCTGGGGGGGAGCACCTGGAGAGGCTCAGGCATGCTCTGTGGTGCTGAGCTGCTAGCATAGGAGTGGGCAGGGGCAGCAGCCTGTCAGGAGCCAGCACTGGGCTCTGAGGATGCCAGCAGAGGAGCTGAGAAGTCACTAGCAGTGTCAGTGTTGAGGCCCCGCCTCCAGTGAGCTCCTCACAGAGGCAGATCATTAGCTTCACAAAGCCTCAAGCTTTTCCACCACCAGAGACCCAGAGAGATGGGAGTTGGGGGAGAGAGTGAGACAGAAGCCTGGTGAAGAAAACGGCACCCCATCCCAGCCTCTTTCCTCTGTGCAGACACACTGTCAGGCAGGCCTGGCTGAGCAGGAGGCACATGGGGATGCCCCGCATTAGGCCCTTTAGCAACTTAAAGGGAGGAGCCACGCAGGACCAGCTGATGCAGGTCTGTGGCCTCCGCAGGTCCCTCTACTGACCTATAAGGTGTCTGCCCTGCCATGTAGCTGTTGTAGCCCCCACCGCCACCCTTAAGAGGCAGGGCTGAATCGCTGTCCTGTAGTTGCTCAGGCTAGATACCTGGCCTTGGGGGGTAATGGGGACAAACATGGGAATGTGAAGGGATGCTAAAAACCAGTGGGACTATGAGCAGTGTCTTCAGCAGGGTCTGAGAACCCCCCAGGGACTCACTCAGGATCCTTCTCTGAAGGCCTGGCATGTGAGGAGGTGATTGTCACATGTCTGCTGAGCCAGTGGGTATTAGGGACCAGAGGCATCCCTAGAATGCTCTGGAAAAGTTAGAACTGCTCCAGATGGGCAGGGATCATGAGGGGTGGCACTGAATCCAAGCCCCAGACCACAGGCCATGCTGGCACTGGGTATCTGTGCCTGCCCCCCCCCCCCCACTCCAGGGTGGCTCCTGTGAGGCAGAAAGGAGCCTTTAAAGCACTGTAGGAAGGACAGCCTCCTCTGGGCAAAAGCACTAGGGGATATGGGCTCCATGTCTGCTGGGCCAAGTCTGGATTTTCCAAGCTAATGGGGATGAAGGTACACAGCCTCCCAGTCTGTAGCCTCAGTTTCCCGCTATGTAAGTTACACTTGGACTGAGCTTTCCCAGGGCCCCTCTCGCTCAAAGGCCTCAGGTTTCAGGATTCTAAGTAGCTGCATGAAGGCTGGGATGATGGGCTGTGTTCACTGTGGTATCCCTGGGGCCCAGTGTGGGCCTGGCATGGAGTAGGGCTCTGGCTTTCACAGTCATCCTCTGCTTGGGATTTTACCTCCTTCCCAGGACCCCCGCTCCCCCCCCACACACACACACACTGGGGGTTTGGTGGTACCCACATGGAATTGTCTCCCTGGGCAAACACTGCATCCTGGACATAGCCAGGGTGGCCAAGAGGAGCTAGCACAGCCTTGGCTGGGATGTGTGATTAGATATTGATTAAAAAGCTAAAAGGAATCCTGGCTGGTGTGGCTCAGTGGATTGAGTGCTGGCCTTCAAACCAAAAGGTTGCCAGTTTGATTCCCAGTCAGGGCACCTGCCTGAATTTCAGGCCAGGTCCCCAGGTGGGTGCCCATGTGAGGCAACCATACAAAGATGTTTCTCCCCCTCCCTTCCCCTCTCTAAAAATAAATAAAATATATATATTTTAAAAGTTAAAAGGAGCAGACAGTTCAAAAAGGGACAGCCAGCACCCTGAGCAGGAACCCTGGCTCTGGCCCTCCCATCCCTTGAAGTTCTGAGTTTGATCCCAGTGCCTGGGGCCCACTGGATGGTACAAAGTGTCTGTGGATCAGATGGTCTTACCAGGAGCTCTGCCCTGCAACTGGACATGGGGTTCTGTGCTGGAGACCAGGCAGGGTTTGGGTAAATAGGACTTTTGGGGCGCCAGGTCGGGCAGGGCCAGGCCCTCATCTGCAGGTCCAGGTGCAGCCCTTTTTGTACCTGGTTGAGTAATGCTTCTCCTCCAGCTCATAGAAGTTGATGACAATCTTGTTCCGCAGGGTGATGAGCTTCCAGTCAGTCACACTCCTACAGTGCTCGCAGCTGCTGGTTGTGCTGTTCAGTGGCCTGGTTCACTGCATTGAAGTCATTCAGGATGAGGAACTGCTTGAGGTTGGACTCGAGCTTCATCAGGGATTTTGCCAGCTCAGACCTCAGTGGTCCTGATGATCTTGGTGAAGTTGTGCCTGATGGACTAGATGTGATCCTTGAGCGGCTTGTTGTAAGACTGCACCAGTATCCCCTTGCTCTGTGGCAGGGCTCTCTGCTGGGCCATGGTGGGGCCTCCATCAGTGCAGAGAGGCCCGCACCTTGTCCACAGACCCTGGGCAGGCGGGCACTTGGCCAGGGGGGGGTAGGGAATGAGCGAGCACCCCGGGGAAGTCCCAGCTGCCTGATGCCTCTCCATGCCTCACTATTTTCATTTTCTTTCCTTGCGTTTTTATTTTTGTTTTGTTTTTATACAGCTAAAAACATCCTGAACAAGAAGGACCTTTGAGTTTTTCCCATGTCTTTCAGTTTCAGATTTTTTTTTTGTCTTGGTTCCAATATCAGCATAACACTTGACCTGCCCAAGTGGACTTGCAGCTGCTCTCTAGTTCCGTTATCTAGTTATTAGTTAAAATCTAAAAGATTTTGTTTGAAATATTTGTTATTGTTGACTTTTTGTACCTCCCAGGATACCATGACTTGTTTTTATCATTCACACTCTGTAATATATTCCATTACTTTATTCATCATGAAAATGCTAACTTCTGCCCTGGTTGGTGTGACTCAGTGGATTGAGTGCCAGCCTGCAAACTGAAGGGTTGTGGGTTTGATTTCTAAGCTAGGGCACATGCCTGGATTGTGGGCTGGTCAGGTCGCCAGTAGGGGGCTCGTGAGAGGCAACCACCACGCGTTGATGTTTCTATCTCTCCCTCCTGTCTCTGTCTTAAAAAAAAAAAAAAAGTAAATATAAAATCTTTTTTAAAAAATGTCTAAGATGGCAAATTAGCCCCCCCTCTCTCCTTCCCTTCCCCTCTAAAGATAAATAAATAAAATCTTTAAAAAAAAAAAGAAATGCTGACCTCCTGGAATTATGTCTCTCAGCTTGGATTTTGAATTAAATGAGGCTATAGAAACCTTACATGTACCCTCAAATTAACCATAATGGTTTCATTGTATTGTAATATAGTAAGAGGTCCTGTGAGACGATAAGGTTGGGGCAGATGGTGCTGTGCCACCCTGCTGGTTATCTCCCACAGGTCAGCCTTCTCATGTCCTCACTGTCTTTCAGGTACAATGTAAAAGTCGCCATTATGTTGTTATCACCTGGGTAGCTTTTCTATAAACCTTTTCTGGTTCACCTAGGAATGAAAATGCATGTCCAGAGAGTTTACATTATGTTGTGGTAACAATGACCCGCAAATTTCAAAGGTTTACAAAAACAGTGTTTTGTACGTCATTCATGGTGCATGTCTGTTAAGAGTCCATTGCAGTTCTGCTCTAAAACATCTGTCCTCAGGGGTCTCCATTCGCAGAGAAACCCCTCCCTGTCTAGACCTTTGTGGATCTGAGAGCAAAAGGAAACGAGGTTGTGGTATGCACCAGTTTTTAATGTTCTGCTTGACTACTCACATTTTTCTGGCCAAAGTAGATCACATAATTAGCCTGTATGTAATAGGGCAGGAATGTATAATCCTTTTTCAGAGAGAGGCACCGAACATGCAGAACAATAGAGAATGCAGTTTACTCCTGTGATCTGCCCTGAGAGGCTTAGAGCAGTCATAAAACTGTGCTGTGCCCTGACAGGGTGGCTCAGTGGGTGGGAGTGTCATCCCGTACACCAAAAGGCTGTGGGCTCTATCTCCAGTCAGGGAACATGCAGGAGACAACCAGTCAGTCTCTCCCCCACTTTCTAAAATCAGTGAACCTATCCTTAGGTGACGGTTTTTAAAAATGTACTTTGAGTGGATGGCATCTAAGGCGGGTGACCCTCCTTAGAACCTCACTGCAGCCACAGCGGACTTCCTCCAAGCGACGTTCTTACGGGTCCAGTCGTGAGCCTTGGTAGCCTCTTCCCTGCATGTTTCTTTTTTAAAAAGCTTTCTTTCCTGGGATGTATCTCAGACTCTGAGTGGGAGAGCTGGGAGCATTCCTGTAACAGATCATTTTTTCTATTGAAGAGTAAAGGAATTCAATTAGATGGTCCCTAACGTCAATTTCCAGTTTGAACATTTCTGGCTCAGATTTTTTCCTGATTTTTGGGTTCATTAGGTGTCCACTGTTAGATGAGGAAGGAGCAAATTGATTATTTGCTATCTCTTTATGGTATTTACTGCCTCAGGTAGTTATTTTTAGTCTTAGCCAACCTTTGAAAGGATCAGGCAAGGGAAACTAGAGTTTCTCCCCATCTCTGAGTCACTAGGCATTTATTTATTCAACATAATCCAGAGAGTATTCTGATGGTTTGAGGACCCTTGATAAGAAGGAACCAGTGGACCAGTCAAGTCAATGTGGAATTCCAGGGGCTTATGCCGGCTTAACTGTGTATCTAGAAAGATCAGGAGATAACTAAAGTCATTGGTTGGCAATAATTTGGAAACCTAAGAGTTAATGTCACTGCTGGATGTTGATGGGCTCTCTTCCAGGATTAAGTGGAAAACAGTCTCCCTTAAGTTTAGGTTTTCCAAGACACACTGGGGAAATTCCTTCACTGATACTTGGTGGTGTAGGTGATATGTTTAAAACATCAGTGTCTTGAGAATGGAAATTATGTAAGATGCAGGGTTTTTTTATACCAAATTTGTAACCAAGACTGAAATTTTGAATGGGTATAATAGGCATCTTCTTACGCAGTCACTGGCCATTTCTGGTAATCTAGCGACCCCTGAGGAATTCTACTGAGTTGGCCAAAAAACACAGTGAATGGCCACATTGTGAACCACCAGACAACTGACAGAGGCACACTATTACAGTGCAGTTCATTTGTTGAAGCCTCACCTGTTGCTTTATTTTTTTGTGGAGGAGACAGAGGAAAGAATTCTGGGAGTGCTGACATTGTAATATTTTTCAAAATAAAAAAAAGTCCTGCCCTTTTCATTTTAGGTTGCCATCTTGAGCCTAAAATTAATTAGAAAGCACCGTGGCAGATTCCTAAATAGCAATTCGCAACTCATTGTAAAATAACCCTTGGGATGTTTCTACTTCCTTTGAATACTAATTCAAGTTTGGAAAGTTTTACATTCAAGTTTGGAAGTTAACTTCAGGAATGAAGTGCTCAACATTTTTGTTTTGTGCTGTTTTGTGAGAGACTTGAGTTCTCCAATAAGTCTGTCACAGATACATCATGTTTTCCCTACCCATCTTTCTTTTTTGTTCCTTGATTGCCAACAAGGCTTTTTGTTTGGGGACCTCTTCCCAGCCCCTCTCATATCTGTATTTTCCTTCCATCCTGCTAGATGAATAGGCAGATCCGGGCTTGCCTCGTTCTGAGACCTCCATCCTGAGCAGCTGAGTCATCCCTTTTGCAAGGTTCTTTATTCTCCCTGCTTCTCTCAAATGCTTTTCAAAGACTTCCCATTTCCTTTCTGTCTCTCTCCTTACCCTTCACCTGTTTTCATACTCTCAGGTGTGTGGTGGAAGCGTTAGAAATCTGCACACAAGCTATGAGAAATATCACAGGTTAAGTAAGAAACCCCAGTAAAGTGTAGATGAGGGAGGGGAGTGCCCCGCCCCCCACCTCTTTATAGTAATCTTACACAGCCAGCCCTTTGAGTCACTAAGCAGAGAAGTAATGCTTTGAGCGGACTGTTTGGCCTGAAACTCCTCGGTTTCATTGTATGAAGTACTCAAGGGCAAAGCACTGAGACAGAGGGAAGAGTGTGCACACAGGGAAGTAGAGTTTCCACTTTTTTGTAAAACAATACTGCCATTCTTCCCAGTGCAGTTTGCAGAGTAATGAGTCACCAAATAGATTCAAGGAAACTTGAAAAAAAACGTTCACAAATCAGTGTTCACAATCAAGGGAAGGAGGCAGTTTCCAGCACACCTTTGGAAATTTTATCTCGTCTGTCCTTTTCTTTCTAGGTACTTGGAAGTTCTGGTAAAACATATACATGCTTGGCTTCCTGCCACTACTGCTCCTGTCCTGCCTTTGCCTTCTCAGTGATACGGAAGAGTGACAGCCTGCTGGTGAGGGGGAGGCCCTGCCCACAGCATTCCAGTCGGGAGAGAAATTGTTGGCTCCTACTTCACGGTTTAACAGTTGTACAAAATGAGGACTTGACCACATGTTGAAACAGACAGACAAGCCCCGCCCATTGTGGCTCACTTGGTTGGAGAGTGGTACTCTGGACCAAGCAGTCACGGTTTCAATTCCTGGTCAGGGTCGTGGGTTCAGTCCCAGTTGGGGTGTGTACAAAAGGCAGCTGATCGATAGTTCTGTCCTCTTTCTCCCTTCACCTCTCACTAAGATCAGTAAGCATGTCCTCAGGTGAGAATAATGATTGATTGATTGATTGATTGGTCATAGATGAAGCATTGGGGAAGACAAGATAATCCCAAAAGGCTGGGAACTAATAAGTTTGCACTGGAGAATTAGGCCAATAAAAATGTGAACTGAGTGTGATGTTGGCAGCCTTGCATAGCTCCAGCTCCAACCACGAGGTGTTCCCTCCCACTGCCCGTTAGACCACCTGGCGTGCCACCATGCTTGACTTTCACATGAAACAGGAGGGCACGCTGATGCTTTTGCTAATTTCATGGTCCGGAGCATCAAGCAAGGAAAAGGACGTACTGTAGCTCCTGATCCCAAGGAGAAAGCACTGCCCACCTGAAAGTGGGCAGCTATTTCCAAGTTTTGCCAAAGAAGAAAATTATAGCATCCATTCCATTCTTCCCATTTCTCTTACACTGTTAACTTCATTGGAAACTGGGTGGCCAATTGGGTATCCCATTGTATGAGAGGCCACATTCATAGCTGATGGGCCATAGGTTTGTTTCACCTATTAGATGACACAATTAAACCAGGGCCCGTTCAGTAGGTATAGCTGTGTGTCCTGTGATACAAGGTCTGGCTTAGAGCTCCTCCCCAGAGTGTGTATGGGCCAGTGTGTGTGAAGGTTCCACCACCCTCACCCCTCCACCCGATCCTGTCCCCCAGGAGTATGTACAATGGTGGCAAAAGGGGTCAACTGTAGGTTCTGAGCACCTGGTTAAAACAGAGGCAAAGAGCTGTTCTCGTGGGTAGCTGTCAGATTTAAAAGAAATTATCTCTGTACAAAGTACCCAACCACAAAGTACCTCATGGAATGTTGCTAGTAATAGCTTTCTGAAGGCAAGGAGGAAAGAAACAACTGAGGACTAAAATGAGCTTGTGTTGGTTATATACCCTGTGTCAGCCTGTTTCCCAAAACAGTGAGCCAAGAAAGACTTCCTTTGTGCCCTGTGACTTCTACACAGGGTACATCTGCACCTCTTTATCTGCAGTTTTTAAGCAGTGAATTCAAGGCCCAGAATCTGTGTGCCCCACTCCTTCCCTGCTTGGTGTGGTAATAGGGAGGGCTTGGTTTGCCAGGCCCTGCCGGGGTCCAGCGGGTCTATGTGTTTTGTGTTCCAGTGCAAGCATCTCTTGGCAGTTTATCTCAGTCAGGTTACGGGGACCTGTCAGCAGCTTAGCGTCTCAGACAAGCAGTTGACTGACATACTGATGGAGAAGAAACAGGAAGCATAAAAGGTACAAATTGAGCATCATTGTCTTATAAAATAGTCCCCAAAACAAGTGGATTTAACTTACTATGGTTCACAGGGAAGAGAGGTGAAGTAGATGTATCGGGTTGGCCGAAAAGTTTGTTTGGCTTTTTCCATAAGATGGCTCTAGTAGTGCTTAGTTGTGTTGAACTTCATTCAGAACAGTTTGGTTAGATTGTATTGTGACAGCTGTCATATCAGCATTCATTTAAAGAAAAAATCAAAGTTGGGGAATTTTTGTGTAACCATTTTAATATTGAAGATGGAAGAAAATACACGTTTTTGGCATAGTATGCTTTATTATTTCAAGAAATGTAAAAAATGCAACTGAAATGCAGAAAAAGATTTGTGCTGTGTATGGAGAAAGTGCTGTGACTGATTGAACATGTCAAAGTGGTTTGCGAAGTTTCATGCTGGAGATTTCTCACTGCATGATGCTCCATGGTCAGGTAGACCAGTTGAAGTTGATAGCGATGAAATCAAGACATTAACTGAGAACAGTCAACATTATACCATGCAGGAGATAGCTACCATCATACTCAAAATACCCAATCAATAAAGTTATCAGTGAAAATGAAAAATGTGACTTTTATTTTATGGAAAAAAAACTAAACAGACTTTCTGGTCTGTTTTTTCCTTCTGGACTATATAAAGCACTGTGGGTTAGAACCCAGGATGTGTGTATGGTTTGAAGCCCTTTACAAGTGTCCGTGGTAAGTCTGAACCAGTCTCTAACCTCCATGGATTAAAAAAAAAATTTAGATAGAATCAAGCATTTTAGATTCAAAGCTTGATAGATGTCTTGTTCACAGTTAGATTAAGTAACTGAAGTAGTAGTACCATATTTTTCAGACAATAAGATGCACTACCCCACCCCCAAGTTGGAAGGAATAATGGTTGTTAATGCTGCTGTTGAGTTCTGTTTACATTTACATTTGGTGAAATATTATGTATGTTACTAAATATTTTACCATGTTGTGCTTCAATTTTTTCCCAAATTCCCTCTAAAACCAAGGTGCGTCTTATGGTCCAAAAATACAGTAATTTTTTTAAGAGGTTGAAAGGTAGACAAAAGTGAGTAGGATGAAATTCAAATGAGTAAGTGTTAGTGCTTTACCACGGAATCAGAAAATTATTCTGCTGCAATAACAGATTGGAGTAGAGATGTGACCAACCAGCAGCGACTATGAAAACACTTGCTGGGTGGGGTTCTGGTTTCAAAGCTTCAGGTTATCTGTGGTGTTGGTGCCAAACTAGTTTGAGGAGGCTGTTAGAGCAGTAGTACCTAGACCAGGGGAAGTACTGGTTTTGCTCTTCGTGCATTTCTGAGCTTTATATAACAAGCCAAATGAAGGAAGGGACCGAAACAGATGTCCTGGAGGAAGCTTTACTACAGATGTCCATTCTGAAAGAGAAAAGGCAAAAGCAATACCAAGAGGAGTATTAGAAGGTAGAAAATTGACTTGTTTGGACACTAAGAGAGTGCACAGGAGTTATGGTACATGAAAATGAGACAGATTTCAGCACAGGACAAGAACTCTTTAATAGGTAAAGCTGACCATCAAGAATAGGACAAGAATGAGATCATAGAAGGGCAGGAATTTGCTGTCCCTGTGAGGGTTCATAGACCTGCATTGTCTTTGCAGGGACATTGCAGAAGCAATTGAAGCCATGAACAAACCAATGAAAAAGATGATCTCACAGCTCAGGAAACCTCCAACCCTGGTCCCAGTGAATGGATGCTATGTGAAAAGGCCACAGGTGGTGCAGTGTTGCATGGTTGGCAGAACCTTTTGCTACAATGAAGTTTGGCAAAAGCTATCAAGACTTATGCTACTTGGGAAACTTAGGCTGGATAAAGAATAGAAAATACGTACAGCCCTGGCTGGTGTTGCTCAGAGGGCTGAGCTCCAGCCTGAGAACCAAAGGGTTGCTGGTTCAATTCCCAGTCAGGGCACATGCCTGGGTTGCAGGCCAGGTCCCCAGTAGGGGTTGCATGAGAGGCAACCACACATTGCTGTTTCTCTCCCTCTATTGTTCCCTCCCCTCTGACAATAAATAAATAAAATCTTTCTAAAAAATAAGAAGGTACTTAACAGCTCTGTATGTCAAGCCAATGCAATTCCCTAAGCTTGTTTTCTTTTTAACTTTTTTTCATCTATCATTACACAGTTGTGTAATTTTACTTATGGTAATAAAAAACTTCACAGTTTGAGATCCAGAAAATAGGTAAATCTTGAAGTTAGGAGAGAAGTAAAATTCAGAACTCACTCCAGGAGGGGGAAATGTAATCTTGTAGAAGAAGGGTCCCATTTCTCTGGTTGTTTCTCTAGGGTAGTTTGATATACATGGAAAAGAATGTTGCCAAAATTATTATCTGATGATGTTCTACTTAAGAACGTATGAGAGTGTCATTTCCATAAGTTGACATAGTAGTTTCTTGATTAAATAATTTTACTTATCAAAAACATGTATAAAGGATACATGAACAAAGCCAAGGGGAGGTAGGATCGAGTGTGGAAGGTGAGGTTAGGGGAAACGGAGACAACTGTACTTGAACAACAATAAATTTTAAAGAGATTTATACTTAATTTTCCTGGTCTCCTTCCTAGAAATAAGTGTATGTTTTTAGTTATATCCAACTTTTATTTTTCCATTGCCTCCAAGTTAAAAAAAAATGTATTACAATATTTCAGTGTTTCACAGTAAAATAGTTTTGTTTTCTACTATAAGAGAGACAGACTTCCAAAACAAAACAACATTTTTACAATCCAGTCAGGCCATTGGTTTCATCCGCACAGTAAGAGCATATTTGTCAGCCCTACAGATAACACCTATATGTTAATTAGACATGTGGTAGGTAACTCCAGGGGGGTGCTCAAGAGGCAGCCCATGTGCCCCTGAGGCCTGCCTGTCTTTCACATGAGAATCAGTCAGTTGTGTCCTGTCCCTAGGTTTATTGTGAATTTGTGCCTTCTTGAAGAGAACAGAGCCTAGGTCATAGGGCCGTGTCAAAAGCAGGCTGTGCGACCCCCTGCCCATTCCCACTCTTGAAGACATCTGTCTGGCAGAGAACATACCTGGAGATGATTTTGTGAAAAGTATAGCGGAAGTCTTGGTTCCTGTAGGCATAAACAATGGGATTGACAACTGAGTTGGCATGTGACAGGAGAATTGCCATGTTCATGGCCCACTTGGGCTTATTCTTAGCCTGAGCTGGCTGAAAAAGAGTGACACAATTGATGGCGTGTACTGGTAGCCAGCACAAAGCAAAAATCCCAACAATCATGGCCAGGGACTTGGCGGCGTGGATCTCCCGCTGGAGAACGGTCTGTGAGTGGTCCATCTGCTCAGTACGCTGAAGCTGCCTGCAGGCCACCATGAAGATCTTGATGTAGATCACTAGCATTATGAGCAGTGGGGGCAGGACACAGCCAAAAAAATTGAAATACACCATGTAGTTCATGGGGACCACGTTCTCAAAGAGGCACTTCACAAAGCAGCAGCTTTCATTCATGGTGCTGTTTGAGGGCTTTGTGCAGTTGATGACACTGTCTTTACTGTTCCACCCCAGGAAGGGGGTCAGTCCAATGCAAAAGGCAAGCACCCAGAGGACAGCAATGACTCCTCTCGCTCGGGTCCCTGTGACCAAACTCTTGTATCTGTTCAAAAGAACACCATGTGTTACTGTCAGCTTATGGCCTCTGCAACCAAAGGCCAGCGTCCCTCTTCTGCTGCTGTTCCATGGCCTCAACTCCTAACAGCCTCTCAGGGTCATCCTCAAAGGGTGCCATGGCCTCTCATTCTCAACGCTAGAGACACCTGAACAGGTATGAACAGCTTCGCTCTAAGAAGCTCAGTAAAACTCACTGCCGACTTAACAACTCACCTCTGTTTGGTGACAAATTATGGTCAATGAGACCAAGTGGAGAAGTCTCAGAGGCTATTTTCTGATTTCTCAGACACTGGCCTCTGAGCCTAGGCCTTCTCTAAGGCCCTGTCCTAGGTGGCTGAGATGCCCCAAGGAGCAGGACACACAGACTCCTACTGATATTCTAGTAGGGGGAGACAGGCAATAATAACAAACATAAGTTAGTAAATTACATAGTATGATAGAAGAATATATGTAAGTATTTTAAAAAGCAGAGTAAGGGCCCTGGCTGGTGTAGCTCAGTGGATTGAGCTCAGGCCTGTGAAGCAAAGGGTTGCCAGTTCGATTCCCAGTCAGGGCACATGCCTGGGTTGCAGGCCAGGTCCCCAGTAGGGGACACACGAGAGGCAACCACACATTGATGTTTCTCTCACACTCTCCTTCCCTTCCCCTCTCTCTAAAAATAAAAAAGCAGAGTAAGGAAGATTAGAACCAGCAGGGACTAGTTTTAACCCTGCAGAGGTCACAGTTGAAAAAATTACAGCATATCATAGGTCACATGTATCCAAGAGACATTCATTACTCATACATGCTGAATGTTAAGTTTTTTTAAAACTACAAATTTGCATTTATATATAATAAAATGATTATTTTCAGTTACAATGTAGAAATTAATGAAATATAAAAACATTAAAACTTTTTTTCAAACAACAAGAACATGATATTGCTAAAAAACACAACCAAAAGTCTTTAATGTTAATCAGGATCTTCAATGGTTGTTTCTGCACAACGTTTGTCACAGTCATCACAGTGTTCCTGTGCTCCAGGCATAAACAGTTTTCACAACACTTTCGAAAATGTTTTGATAAGCAACTCATTTTGGTTGTATACATAGCACCTAACATCTTTTTTTGCTTGTCGAGGGAGCCGTATCTGTGCCACCATTAGAATTTCTTTCAATTTGTGTTAGTCATGTACAAATGTGCAGGTAGTCATGACCTTGAACCTATGTACCTGATACATGTAATAATATTTAAGAAAAGAGTTTGTATTTCTCAAATCAGCCACAACCTCTGCAGGGTTAAAGAGGTCAGTTGAAGGAGGCCCAGTGATGAAGTGACACCAGAAGAAAAGCCTGAAGAAGTGGGGACGGGCTCCCAGAGTCAGGCAGCACTACTTGCTGGCTCTGGTCAGAAGAAACCCTTCTGGTCTCCCACAGATACACAAGGGGTCTGCCTGGGGCTGTGGGAAGAATCGTCCCCAAACACTTGTGTAAACTGTTGGAGAGCAAGAATTCTGGCAAAGGCCCTGTCTCTGCTAGCAGCAAAGTTGATACAAATTGGGATATATCTTAGCAAATATTAATTTTAAATATTTTTAAACCATTAAATCTTGTTTAAAATCACTAGAAATCAGAACACGCATTTTAGACATTTAGACTAGAAATCAGAATACGCATTTGGCTATAAACTAGGTCATATGTGGTTTATAGCAAAGCTGTAAGTTTAGCTATTAATAACATCCATAATATATATTCAATGTATTGAGAAAGTGAAATCTTTCACCTCTGAGAGGAAAATTTAGAAACAGTTTGATACACATGATCTTAAGACTTGTCTATGGAAAATACGCAACTTACTTTGCCAGCAGGATAAAGTCCATACTTCCCAGCATGACCCAGAGAGCCCTCCACGCTCAGCACCATACCCCCAGTGCCTGCCCTTCCCAACCAATGGCTTCTCCTGGTTCATGCTGCTCTGAACATGGAACTCTCCTGATCTCTTCTCAGGCCAGGGTAGCCATGCCTACTCTCTGACCCCATACACCTGTTTTAGAGCTTGTTTTATCTGTTTCATTTGTTCTCTACTGGAATGTCAACCTCTTAAGGACTAGGACCTTGTTGCTTTGTATTGGTATTCCCCAGGACCTGGCCCTGGCACATAGTGTATTTTATATAATATGGCCATTATGAATGCAGTCCTTATTTGTTTTCTGGTATCTTATCAAACTGCTTTAAAACAAGATTCTGCATATTAAGAATATCCTGATGCTGTGGCCTGGACAGACTGAAGTAACACCATTTGCTGAGGAAGTTAACTGACATTTGACCCATAATTGGAAGGGGAAGTGATCCTTAATCTCCTCCGCTCCCCATCAGAGCAGCAGCAGGCAGGTTCAGCTGTGGGAACTTTGCTACAGACAACCTGCTGGGCTTAGTGGCTCATTGTTTCTTGGCCAATGAATCCACCCATTCCCAAACCCTTTCTGCTTCCTCATTCAGGAATATAAAGCCATTCCTTTAAAGAAAAATGTTACTCTTGGCTACTTCCTCAGCTGAGATGTGAAGAATGCAATTAGTCCCCACAGGATAACAACGGAGCCTCTTCAAAGCCAAGCACTTAGAATCAAAGGACTTCAGATCCAGGAGACAACCAGACCTGCGTTAATTCTTGTTTACAGGACTCACCCGTGTTGAACTGAGTATAGCTGAATACAGGCTGGCCCTAGGGAATGAATTCCATGTGGGATAAGCAAATTCTCTTGTCTGTAACTGGTTGGTGGTAGAGTTCCGAGCAACTAAACCAAAGAAAGCCTGCCAGGATACTCCCAGGGAAGGTCTGCTTTTTAAAAAACATTTCAGATATTTTTTATTTTTTCAAATTTGTTGTTCATCAGGTGTGACTGAAATAGAAATATATAATAGAGTCCCACCATCACCATGAAAATGGCTTTAAGAGAAACCTGGTCAGATGATATTATTGCTTCCCATTTTCAACCGGTAAATAGTTTCTATTGATGACAGCCAACAACAGTCTGTCAAGAATGCTCAAGACATTTTACATAATGCAACGTGCCTGTTCATGGGGTTGGGGGCAGGAAGACTACGAAATAATTTATGTGAACGTCTTCATTCCATCATACAAACAAGCACCAAAGCACCACCCATGCCTCTGAGAGCATTGGACCATGCACCCTTGAAAAAGCTCTGCTTCCTTCAACACGAGCAATTTTCCTCCAGCAGTTGAGCATGTCTGTGTACAAGATATCAGTTCCTTTGTGCCCTGACTGCATCATCACACAGTGACAAACAGTGTCAAGCAGACAAGAAGTCAACTCAGCTGCTGCTGTGATGGACGGTGCAGTCATCCAGCTGATGAAGATGTGAGTGTTCTTGGGATCTGGGAGCATTCCCTGTGCAGTGTCACAGATACTGAAGTAGGCAGCCAGTAGATGATGATACCCTGCACAGATACATTAAAGCCTTGGTACAGGCCCTTGATCCCATCAGATGTGCAGATCTTAACCAGGCAGCAACCAAGGCCTTTGAATTCCCTTTCAGCTCCAGCTTTGCCCACATCAGCTGCTACACAGGTATGGGCAAAATCAAGAGGATACACAAACACAAAGAGGTGGCCCCAGCAGCACTGCCTGATGCCAGATTTCCTTCAAAGTAGTATCAAAACTGAGAGCCCGGGTGGGGAAGCATCTGATGACATTAGCCAGTTTACCACGCCAGAAGGACAGGACTCCCTGCTCCTTGGGGATATGAACCACACAGTCTATAATGCCCTTGTATTGCCTATCTGCACTGATTTGCTTGCTGGCATGCTGCACCTGCAGCAGCAGCTTGACCCCCTCAATGGGTGCTACTGTTGTCTTGGAGATGGCCGTGGCCACTCCACCTACCAGGAAGTCCTTGGCAAAGGACACAGCAGCATCTGTCATATTGAAATGAAAGAAGGAGCAGGAGAATGCAGGACTAGGTTTGTAACCAGCTGGGACTCAGGGGCTCTAGGAGAAGGTCTCCTTGATAAAAGAAGAGATCCATGAGGAGAGTTCTTCCCCATGCCCTTCCCTCTCTGCTTTTGATGCTCTTACAAGAGGCTGTGAGGCCTGGAGCAGCAGCATTCATTTTGTGATCAAGAAGGACAAGACTGAAGACAAAGCAACTGGCAGAGCAGGAGGAGAGCAAGGGCCCAGGTTGGTCCTTGATGACATCTTTGAACCACTGCACCAGCCCTAGAGCCACCATGGTTCCATATTCTACTTCAGGAGATAAGTAAATATCTTGATTGCTTAAACCACTGTCACCTGCAGCTAAAAGCATACACACACTAACTGGAAGGGACTTTTTCTCCTAGTGCCACCTCCCTTATTTTACAAATAAGGAAACAAAGGTACAAAGTCTTTGAGTAGAAAAGGCAATATGAGATCGAAAGACCAAAGCTAAAGGCTTTCAGGCCTGTGTGCCTTGGACCATGTTATGCTGCTGCTTATTTCACTTGCCCTTTTTTTTAAAGCAGCATTAGACATGAGTGCTCTGTACACAGTGGGGTCATGATGGGCTTCCCACCACAGTTCAAAGCAACCAGAACCCATCCACATCTGAACTTGTCAAACCTGCTGGATCCTGCACATGTGAAAACTACAGTTTTATGCTAAATTGTCTTAGATATGGAAAATCAGCTGATCCATCACGGGAGCAGCTGTCACAGCTTTCTCTGTAAGTCCTCAGCACGGCCTTTCCCTCCTGTTGGTTCACAATTTCATTCAGAATTCTTCCTTTGTATCATATACTCTCTAGACAAAATAAACATGACCACAGCCCTTGTGGGTTATAAAGGTAATAGAAGAGACAGAAAAATAAACAAGTAAACGCACAAATGTGTAATTACAAACCAGAATGAATTTGCCCAAACCAAAGTGAATAGGATGCACGTAAGAAAAAAACAAGACCTAGGACATGGGATGTCTGGGAAGGTCTTTAGGTAGAGCTAAAGGTCAAGGAGT